CGAGGGGTTGGTTGCACTCGATTGGGAAACCGATCCGCATAAACATGTACATGTGCATTTATTTCGTTTGAGCGACGCAACAGACACCACTATCCACTACCGACTGACACTGACTGTATACAACTGAACGAAATAATTGTAAAAACATCGTTCCAAATTCTTTCGCTTTTTTGTTTCCGATGCGATGAACCGATAAGGCGAATTATATCCGTTGTCGCCAAACACGAGCACATAATATTATTATTGAGACAGGGCGGTACTCAAACTTCCAAAGGGCTATAACTTTGTTACTTTAATTTTACCAGAAAAATGGTAAAGGAAAAAAACATTTATAATAAATGACTCAACTTCGAAATCACCCTGTAGAGTCGACTCTTGTTAATCAAACTTAATTTTGAACGTTTAGATAATAATGGGTAAAGCTGTCGAAACGTAATGTTTCTTGCAGCAAGGCCACATCTATACTTTCGTCCACAAGAGCTTGATGAAATTCCCGTTTTTTGGGAATGTCCCTTAGACCCAAACAATTCCGAAGAAGAATTTTGATAAATAAAGAGAATTTTGATAAATATCATTCCAAGTAATAAATGGTTTCAGCCAAAAAGGATTATCCATCTGGCAAAACCGTACCCCTACCTTTAGGGCTATCTCTTATCTCTCTCTCTGTTTCTAATTTGTCCGTCTTGTCTGTATTCTCTTGCTATAACTACTCTTTGGCGTGACATACTACTGGATGTTTAATCTACTGCAGCCTTTTATTGCAGCAAGGACAAACAGAGAACACGGTGCACCCATGCGGATAGAAGACCGATTCCGTCCGCCTGTTGAAAATTGCGTTCGAGCTCGCCGTCGGTCTATTTATATTGAAAGTAGGACTGAGGGCCGTAAAATCGTTGAATCGTCGGCAGCATTCAGATCTTAACGGCAGCCTGTTTTCTTTTCTCTCGACCGCTATCGCGTTTTTTAAGCTGCTGCTTAATCGAAGAAAGGCGATTCCTTTTATCGGGAAACGAACGCTTTGCGCCTCTGTTATTTCGGTTCGGCGAATCGGCACTGAGTACATATTTATATTAGACGTTATTTGAATCGCGAAACATATACACTGATTCGAATAACAGCTGATTGTCTCCTGATATTTTAAAACTAACCATATCGACAAGTGACACATAATTCTGTCGGATCCGTCAACGCTTCGTCCCGGTGCGCAGTGGAACAAACTCTGCCAACTGTCAAAATATACTTTACTAATTCCAAGTCTTATTTTTGTTTTACTGTGCCTGCTTAGATATTCAAATACGGTCAGGAATTATTAGCGCCTGGCTATTTTAGGCCTTCAATAATTCCTTATTTTAGTTGTCTCCTTATTTTGTTTTTTCCGCGCATTCATGGTAGAAAGAAAAATATGTTATCGAATACAGAATACAGAATTTCATATGGGGTTGTCCAAAACGGACGCAGGAAAGTAAACGCATATTAAAACAAGAAAGATTGATATTCAAATCAAGTTGGGTACTTAATTGTGAAGGTTCATTTATACCATTTATGTATGAAAAATAATATCGCTCAAATGTTCACCACGACTGGATTTACAGACGTCCACGCGATGGTCGAAATTTTCAATGACATTTTGCAACATGGTCGGTTCTATGGCATTTATCTCGAGAATGATGTTGTTTTTGAGTTCTTGAAGGGTGGCTGGTTTGTTGACGTAGACTTTGCTTTTCAAATATCCCCATAAAAAGAAGTCCAAGGGAGTCAAACCGCACGATCTTGGTGGCCATGGCACATTTCCTCTGCGCGAAATCACGCGATCACCGAAGAAGGACTGCAATCGATGGATATTGACGTTGGTTGTGTGGCATGTTGCACCGTCTTGTTGGAAATAAACATCGGCCATATCCATTCCTTCAAGTTGCGGCAAAAAATAGTCCTCTATCATCACGTGATATCGCTCAGAATTGACGGTAACGGAGTCCCCGGCCGCATTTTCGAAAATGTAAGGTCCGATGATGCCTTTTGACCACAATGCACACCACACAGTCACTTTTTGAGGATGCATCGGCTGCTCTTGATACTCACGGGGATTTTCGTTCGCCCAGATGCGGCAGTTTTGCTTGTTTACCGTCTCATTCAAAGTGAAATGCGCTTCGTCGATGAACATGATTTTTGATGAAAAATTGGCATCAATTTGGCGGTGTTCAAGGAGCCAATCTGAGAACGGTCGGCGCGAAAAATGGTCGGCCCGACGCAGCTCTTGCGTCAATTGGATCTTGTAGGCGTGTATAGTTTATCTGAAGTCACTTGAAACACTGTGAAATACCGGGTGCGTTTTATATATCTATATTTAACGCGCTCTGTTGCTGCAAAAATCGCCAAATTTCGCAGCAAATATCCCCCGTATAAGATCAAAGGCAGTTTCATCGGTCCACGTGGTGTAAAGCACGCCTATGCGTGGACATAGCCAATGAGAAAGCGTGTATTTCAGAGCTCCGAAAAAGTGCAGGTGGCTACTGAAAATTGAAACAGTTTAGCCAGTGCCGTGTAGCGGTGAATAAACGTGTTTTCTTTAGTCTGTCCGTGTTTTTTCATAGATTTTATTAGTTTGTGTGTTTTTGACTTTTGAATACTCAGTTTATTTGTTGATTTAATTGTTGTGTTGATTGTTCTTGTGTGTCCTAAATATGGCTCTTTGTAGACCTTGGAAAAAACTCCAAGCCACGAGGAGATGGTTGATGAACCTGTGCAGGCAGAATTCTTTCATAAAGATTTAGAGGAACAGACCCAAAGAGTAATCCTAAATATGTATGATTGTTTGAAAAACGAAAATCCAGATTCCTCGCAAAATCAAATTTTAAACAGAATTTGTATCCTGACAAAAATCAGTCGGTCTACCATTTATCGGGCTATAAAAAGGGGAGATGTAGTCAACCATTCCTTCCACAGAAAGCGCATAGGGCAAAAGTTAAAAAGAATAGACGTGGGTTTTCAGGAAGATATTCGTCGTATAATATACGGATTTTATAAAGAAAATTTGGTGCCCACGTTGGAAATGATACGGGATAAATTAAAAGATTATCCTGAAAATTTTTATAATTACAAATGCTTAGACTTACTGCACTGTATTGTAAAACTGTGTGGTTTTCAATACAAAAAATTAAATAAAAGAATGGTGATTATGGAGTCGTCTCGAATCGTTGAATTGCGCAAAAGAATTTTTGCACAAAGTTAAAATCTATAGAGAGCAGAAAAGAAATCTGATTTACCTGGATGAAACGTGGTATGATACCCATGATGTTGTGCAGTACGGCTGGGTTGACGACAGCAACAAGTGCATTTTAAATGCACCATGCAACCGTGGAAAACGAATCATTATTCTCCATGCTGGCAGTGAAAATGGATTTATACCTAATGCCTTGCTGTTATCTGCCAAAAATATCAAACAATCATGTGCCGACTATCATGAGGACATGACCTCCGACTTATTTGAAAAGTGGATAGAGCAGCAGTTAATACCAAACATTTCCCCAAATTCAGTGATTATTATGGAAAATGCGCTATACCATTCCCGACAGAAAAACAAAATTCCGAATACAGGCACAAAAAACAAGACATTATTGATTTTACGAAGGATAAGGGAATGGAAATACCACAAAAATCAACCAAAGCCATATTAAAAATAGTATGTTGTTGACAATCTGCTTCAGCAAAATGGCCATGAAGTATTACGTCTACCTCCCTATTACTGCATTTTTAACCCGATTGAGTTGGTCTGGGCTGCTTTAAAAAAAAGTAAGAAAACATAATCAGACCCCTCAATTAAGTGAATCGCTATTGGCCACAATAAGAGATGCAGTATCTCATATTGCTGCCACAGACCTATGGAAGCAGTGTTCTAGGCATATTATTGAAAAAGAAAATGAATATTGTGTTTTGCCTCCTGTAAATCCCGTTGTAATTCCTCTACAAGATGACTCTAGCGACAGCTCCGAAGGCGAGGATGATATATAAATACCTATAATGTAAGTCTTTATATACCTTTTTATATACCTACCTGCTATGTAAATATTTGCCTATGTCAAACGTTGGAATTCTGTAATTTTTCCATTTCTTAACTTTCAGTCAACATAAATTAAACTCCCAATATAAGTATTTTTTATCCCAAATAAAAAAATAAGAAGATAGTAAAATCCATTTATTGTGATATAAAAACATTATTATTATCGTTCTAAATAAATAACCGCACGCCTATGATACGTCATGAAATTACAAAGGACGCGCCGACCAAAGGTTTTTATGCTATTTCAAGTGACTTCGGATAAACCATAAATATTATTATTATTTTCTTGTACTAGCAGTAGAAAATTAGTCAGCATTTAACAGTATTTCCGGAGTATATTCCTCCAATTGTGTCTTTCGCTACTTGTTTTGTTACAAAAACAGTATGCGAAACTTTTACACGAAAACGAAGTATATAACATGCGGCATTACATACATCTGAGTATTCTATGAACCTATAAATCTTTAACGTAATCCTCTCTTTGAATCGCTTTTTATAAGGCATGTAAGCTTAGTGTGCGGTCCCTTTAATACCAAAAAGATAAGAATCCCAACTTGGAGTCGACTCGCCATGATGTTTTGTACTGTATCGTTATGTGTTGCCATATTTCGTAAAGATAAATATTTTATTTTATCCATATATGTATTTTTCAACAGATACAAGTTCCAGTACAAGTGATAATAAACAAATAGAGACATATGCAAAAAATTGTATCATGTGTTGATGAAACTAAAAAAATCAGTGCAGTGGTGGCACATGCAACTTAGTATATTTCTGAACGTTGATTCAACTCTTAAAACGTTTGAAAAGTTAACAAAGGTTTACGTCACTGGACAGTTTTTAAATGGGAATAGGATGTTTTCACTGTTTTTGTTGACTGTTCATGCATGGCAATCTATTTTTGTCTGTTTATCACGTACAGGGTGTTGTACATAATACGTACCTGTAGAAATGTACCGATTCTTGTTGTTCTGCAAAAAAAAGGATATAAAACGTATTTCAACTGGTTCATCATCTTTTGTTACATCAGAAACAATTTTTGCCAATTTATGATCTAGAAATCCACACAAACAGCACATTCGGCATTTTTGTGCTTCTTATAATGTAATGTCTGGCATGTAGATATTCTGGCGAATAAATAATCTATCTATAAATTTGATGCATCGAACTCGCGGCAACAGCGTGCTCCTTTCCGCGAAAAATACAAAAAACGCAGCAAAGTCGAAGACGTTCGTATGCGAAGGCGGGGTTCTTTGAAGTCATGTTCAAAGGAAACCCGATGCAAGCGACGTATGCAGTCAAAGTGCTGCGAGGAATTCCAAAGGGTGTATGGTATCGGCATTTGGCGCGATATCGTTTGGTCAGTCGTAAAAGGACGTGTTAACTCTTATAAGTCGGGAGCTTGTATGCGTTTTATACGTCATACAGACTAAAATTAACTGCTGGATGTTCTTCTTCCTTTGTGACGGAAAATTAAGAATGTATACTAAGTGACATATAAATCCGAACACCCAGTTTAAATGGTTTTATTTTAATAAAATTTTGTATATGTACTTAATGAAGCATAATAAGTAAATGATAAAAATTTCAAAATGATTGCACTGCTTTAAAGCCCTTTGACCTTTAATAATGTGTGGATGCACCCTGATGTGCTACGCATTCTCCAACGCGCCTAGGCATGCTTCTGATCAGGTGGTCAATGTCCTCCGGGTATCTCATTCCAGGCAACCACCAACTCCTCTCGAAGTGCTTCTAGAGCCTGAGGAGGACGTTGCAAATTGAGCAATCTCCTACCCATCATATCCCACACGTGCTCAATTGGGGATAAGTCGGGAGATCTTGGTGGCCATGGTAACAATGTGACATCGTTATGTTGAAAGAAGTCTATTGTGACTCTTGCAACATGTGGTCGGGCATTATCTTGTTGGAAAGTTGGATATGCCAGGGTGTCAAGATGGGGTTCTAGAACTTCGTGGATATAACGCTGCGCGTTCATGTTACCTCTGATGGAAGATTAAAGGTGACCTGGAGCCATAAGCTATAGCACCCCAAACCATAACTCCAACAGTGTGATGAACATGTCTTTCAACAAAAAACTGTGGATTCCTCCTTTCACCACGTCGCCTTCTAGCCCTGGCACGACCATCGTGCATGCCTAAACAAAATCGAGACTCGTCACTAAAGACAATACTGTTCCATTCCTGATCCCAGAGTGACCGTTGTCTGTACCACTCAAGGCGATTACGTCGGTGTTCTCGAGTTAAAGGGAGGACCCAGTGTGGCCGGTATGAGAACAAGCCAAAACTTTTCATTCGTCGGTAAACACTTCGCATGCCATTAGGTCTTCCGTGTTCTGCAAACCATTCATTTGCAATGGACCTGGTAGTGGAGAAACGGTCCCTTAAGGCCAATAATCTTAGGCGGCGATCTTCACGGTCTGTTGTTCTATGGCGGCGTCCAGTGCCCCTTGATCTTTGCGTACGGCCTTCTCGAAGCCATGCCTGACAACACCTATACACAGTGTCCACATTTCTTTGCACTCTAACTGCAATTGCCCGAAAAGAAAATCCAGCTTCCCGAAGTCCCACTATACGGCCCCTATCAAACTCACTAAGTTGACGAAATCGTACAGGTCTCCGTTGATTCTTTACTGCGGCTGAAATATTCATTTTTAGAGCGTTAGTGAATTAAAAAAAGCAGTATAAAAACCGGAATGTCCAACTGATAAGGCTGAAAATTTTTTCACTTGTTATTTACAGTAAGATAAATACATTCACCAACTTTTATTAAAATGAAACCATTTAAACTGGGTGTTCGGATTTATATGTCACTTAGTATATTCCATGTTCATCGAATATGGGGAATTTCATGCCAATAATAATGATAATAATAATAATACAAATAATAATTTATTGCTATTATACATGAAAGAAGAGCATAAAAGAGTAAATAGAAACTTCAAGCAATACGTAAATAAGACAAACATAAAACACAAAGTGGCAATGAAAGGTAAAAAGGTTAATAAAACCAAAGTTAAAATTTAGATGAACAATAAATAGAGATGGTTAAAGAAACTACAGAAGAGGCTGAATACAATAAAAATTATGCAGAGTCATGGTGGCCATTTTCAACATTTACTTGCCTAACGGGTCAGTTCATTCTTCATTTTTAAATTACTTTGCTGCCGAATGTATTGATCTCCACTAATGATGATGTATTAGTTTTATTTAAGCTTTAAATCATTAAATCGTCAAAACTACTAAACTGAAGCTAATGTATTTTACATCATTATAAAGGGAATTGAAAGACCTTTAAAATAAGGTATCACTTGACCTCCCTTTCCATTTAAGATTTTGGGGTGGTGTCACCCCCGCTTAGGGGGCTGCACGTGCTGACGTGATTTTTTGCCAAACTTGTGTCCCCCTCGAAAAAAAAATCGACGGGTAGATAGATCGTCAAATATTCTTGGTCACAAAATCTCTAACATCATTCCAAAAGAAATACAAAGAACAGCAAATCAAGATAACTTTAAGTATAGTTTGAAAGGTTTATCAGTGTGTTCATTATCTTGTTTGACTTACCGTTTTGTTATGTCTCTGTATATAGCTGCGATTCTTATACAAACTTTGTTTTTCAAAGGAAAATAAACTATTATTACGTATGCTACTTCTCTAAGTTTTCAGGACGATGGGCGAGGTGGATGCGTCTAGTACATCCAAAACAACAGTTAACCTCAAGCTCACAAATAGGTGCGAGGTTAGTTAGTTCGTGGGTACCTGTATATAAATTATGGGCCCAGAATGCGAATGCCAGCTTGTACGTTCATTTCCTGTCTGTAATTTACCGAACTAGCGGAAAGAATGAGTTTGTGGGAAAAATGTTATGGTCAGAGGCAAATTATACTGGAGAAACAACGGAGCGACGTTCGCTATACAGTCCGTGTTCCGTGGTTTATGTACAGGCACGTAATATTTAATTCATGGTCGGATATAGACGGACGAGTCTCGCGACGGAGAAATTGGAAATGATTGTTCCATACTCGTCTTGAGTCTTGAGGTACGGACACGCTGGCATAACATCGATTAGAAGAGAAATATGAAGTGGAACTGTAGCTAATGATACGAGTTGGTGTGCTTATTTAATTATTGGCTAAATTATTGACGTGATTCAACGTTAGTTAACCTTCTTTTACTTGCCTATACATCGAAGGTATTCTTAAAAAGAGATCAGGCCGTGTGGTAAGACCAGGAATCAAATGCTCCGCATCCATGATAAAGTTTGTTCAAACCTCATGTACTCCACGTCAAAACATCGTCGATTCGCTTGACGTTGCCTGCCCAGGCATTTATAGCCCGTTGCCCAATAGGAGCGTGCGAATTTGAACGCCTCGCATCAGTGGGGGATAGGTCTGTGATGGGTTACAAAATACAGGGTGTCCGCAAAGTTGGGGTTTTCCTTTTCAGAAATAACTACCCTTGAAATAACAATGGTAATGTGTAGTGAAACGAGGGCGACCAAGTAAAAAAAAATAAAGGAAAAAGCACTCACTCTCCAGTTGACGAGAAGGGCTAAGTACGTCTCTGCCCGAAATCATACCGCTCCAACAGAAAATGAAATCAGCTGATACGCTACCGAGCAGACGCCGGCGGTGGTGCAGACCACGAACAGAGGTAACAAATAAGACGGCGTTGCCGCGTTTTCAGTTTTTAGGTAAACGTACTTTATAGGTATTGTTCGAAGTTATCGCCGTTTGATTCAAAAACACAGGCGCGTGCACGACGTAGCCAAGCATCGGTGCAGGCTTTGAGAATGGAGTGCCTCCCCCGAATGAAAGCACCAATTCTGAGACGAAGTTCGTCAACCGTATGCACTTCAGTTTTGTACACTAAGCGTTCCATTTCTCTCCAAAGAAAAAAATCACTTGGTGTTAAGTCTGGAGATCGCGGAGGCCACGCTACGGGTCCATTACGTCCGATCCACCTATTCGGAAATAATTCATTCAAAAACTCACGCACTTCGCGTCTAAAATGGGGCGGTGCACCATCGTGCAGAAACCACATTGATTGTTTTACACTTAATTTCACATCTTCTAACAAGGAAGGCAAAATGTTGCGTAAAAAGTCTAGGTATTGCATCCCGTCCAATCGATTTGGGAGAATAAATGGTCCAATGAGCATACCGTTGACCATGCCAGCAAAAACATTCACCGAAAATGTTTGTTGAAAATGTGCCCGGCGGACAGCGTGCGGATTTTCTACTGACCAAACATGAGTGTTGCGAAAGTTATTCACCCCATTACGCGTGAACGTAGATTCGTCGTTACCAATATGCACTTCAAAAAGTCCGGATTATTGTCATGTTGATGCAACAACCACTCACTAAACCGCACTCTTGCTGGAAAATCGTCAGGTTGACGTTGGACGTGAAACGGATACAGCCCCTCTTCACGCAGCGTATGCCACACTTTAGTTTTTGATACCTGCACTTCTCTACTCACGTCTCTAGTGCTTGTTGAGGGATTCTCGTCTACGCGATTACCTCTACATGCGTGACCGTAACCGTCGGTTGAAGGTTGCATACTGACCTGACAAACTGACCCCGACCCAGTTCTGCCGTCGGGTTGAGACCTTGTACCAGTCGGGGATATCGTGGCGGGTCGCGGCTACAGGACGGTATTCAGATATTTTTGATGTTGCAGAGCCCTTTATCTCGGTTCCCTTAAGACATTGGTGTATATGGTACTAAGCAAAATTGCTTATGTTTTCAAGATCTACACGTCGTGTAAAGGAAAACCCCAACTTTGCAGACGGATATGAAATGATATAGACTTATATAGACTTCCTCCAATATTCTTCGAATCACGATGCTTCAGGAATATTGAAAAATATACGCAGATGTTTTTCCTGATGCAAAAACGTAGGAGTTTGTGAAAAGGAACTTTAAAGACAGAATAGGAGCACAACGTTTCTTA